TTCAGGGGATCTTGTAGTCGAGCAGTCTCGACTAGAGCTTTCTTACTTGTTTATATATATAGATCATATTAATCTACTTTACTTATAGTTTTTCATACAGCGTGGCTGTTGTTCGTCATCTGCGGAGTTAACCACAATTTTCATTTACTTGTTATACAAATTTCAAGTTCCCATGCATGCAGACAGATTCAATTTCCATTGGCTTCAGGGTGTAAAAACTACAGCAATTAACGAATAACGACAAGCGACCTTAGCAAGTGCAAAAGACAATTCAGGTAATTGCAGTTAACATAAGCAAAGCCGATGAAAGTGTTTTTACACGCGCACTACACCAGATTGTGATGAGTTTTTTGCCTTCTCATAAATTTATATATGTAGATATGTATATCAAACCTGTTCCGGAAATTTTTATTTAAAAGAAAGCCCAATGGGACTTGTATCTTAGGCGACATCCTGAATTTTGAAATTTGGATTTTTTCAAAATCCAATGTAAAAGTACCGGACATTCATGATTCTTATATGAATTGCAGTATTTCTTGTACATATAAATATAATTTCAAGCTCAACATCTTTACAATAGAGAGGCAAAACATACAGCTACATAAATATTCAGTATAGGCGATAACGTCCGACTTTAACATTTTTAAATAGTAGGAGTTGATTGGGTCTCAAAGTCATCGTAGTTGTATTCAATTGTATAATTTATAATACTTCGAGTAAGATGTTTAATTTATTCTTCAAATCACATTAGAAGAGATCTGTACTTGCAAATAAAAAATAACCATTTTAAGAACCACAGTTGAAGTCTATTACTAATTATGTATATCAATTAATTCAATCATGTGATTTTTAAACTTTTAACAACTACTTAAAGATCTAGATATATTTAAAATACGAATATTGCTTATACATATTAGCTACTCGTTAGGTATTTTAGAGCTCAAATTAAAGTTTAATTCAACATTCGTATTATTAATTAGCATTGCTTCTTACATTAGTTCTCCCTTAGTTATAGTTACATTCCAGCCAGTACAGTATCGGAAAACAGCTCGGAGCAAGAGTACGTTTTTTAAATTTTCAAGCATTCAATTTTTTCATATTCTTCCTATGATAATCTATATAATAATTTAGGATTAACTTGTGTTTGTGTATTATTCAATTATCACATTCTTTTTGATGATGATATATTAATTTTTTCATTTTGACTCGTTTGAGACATTGAAGCATATAAATGGTAAACAATACTATACGATTTGTATGCTTTCATCAATTACTGAACTTATTGTATCTCACGTATCATCGAAATTGTAGACAAAACTATGACACAAAGCACAGGAACTATATTATTCGTAATTTCTTATCAACATAAAATAAAGAAAGTATATTCCATTGACCATGACTCAGACCATGCCGAAGCCCTCGCTGCCCTCGCTGATGGCCAGGAGCAGAGATTTCTCGAACTGCTCATAGCTCTCGTAGTCCGGCAGGCAAAGTTGATTGAAACTGCAAGCAGAAGGTAAACCAATCAATATATATATACATAGATCAAGGTGATAGATACGCACCAGGTGTGTGCCGTGGGTAGATTACCAAATGTGGGAGCTGCGGTTATTTGGAATTGTGGATTTAGCTCCTGAAACCCGCCAGGCGGCAGCTGAGAACAGCCTGTGGTGAACTGCAGGAGACGGGCCATTTCTGTTTGGCTAAAATTGCTAACAGCCGCCCAGAACCAGGCGAGTACGCGTCGAAACTCTGCCGAGTTCCCATTGGCAATGTGATGCGACTTAAAATCGGTTATCGAGTACTCGCCAGTGCCGCACATCAGTAGCTGGAGTAATATAAGGTATTTGACATAATTATATTCATATACATTTCGGAGATTCTGTTTAACTCACCTCCAATTCGTTTTCGTCAAATATGCTTAGCAAATTGTCTGGTATGATTGCATTGAGACCCTTAAGAAAGCTGTCGACTTCATCTTTCACGCTATTGCAAAGTCGCTGCTGTGCCAAAGCATCTAAATATTGATTTTTGGTCGCATTGGTTACACGAGTCCTGGCACCATTTGGAATAAGTTCTATGGACTTGATTAGTTGGCCGCTGGTGTCATACACATCCTCTACGAAATACAACTCCAGTGCGTCAGTGCCATCCAAGTCCGTATCGAGAATGTACTTAATTTTCGACAAATATAAATCTGGGTCATCCTGCTCGAAGTACTAAAATACGAGACACAATATCGCTTTTAGGACAAGAAACGGTATACACAGATGTACAACCCCACCTTATAATGCACTCTTAGCCCTATTAGCTGGGCTAAAAAGGATCGGCTGAACCGTGCACGCACCAATTGTCTATAGCTGCCGCCTAAAGAGCTCTCGAACAGACATTTGCCCACAATTTTGCCGGCAAACTCAAAATACTTTAGTTTCAGATGCGAAGGCCGCGTCGGATTCGGATGCACCAGAGCCTGGTGCTTATCGTGAAACGTACAAAAGAGCCCACTTCTTGAATCGAAGAGAGCGCTGCAAACCAATTCGAACCATTCGCGCCGCAGGCCACCCCAGTCGATACCCTGCTCTCCCTGGAAGGTGACTTCGAAGTTGCCGCACCAATCTGAAACGCTAAACCCTTTGGTGGCCTTCATACTGCTTTCGAGGATCTTTTCGCGATTTACTTTGAGCGCCATCTTCTCGTGGTAGTAGCTGGCATGGAATTTGCGCACTTCGTGGTAGAAGAAGTCCTGTTTGTCCTTGAACGTCTCTGAGCCACCAATGTTCTTCAGCAGGAAATGTGTAAAGGTTGCAGCTATGATGTTGCGGTCCTTCGAGGCAAGTTCAATACGAGGCTGGGCTCCATCGTCTATAATGAAAACTGGCCCATGCAGCTGCGTTACAAGATGGGGCAGAAAATGGAACTTGGTCGACGGACACAGCCGAAAGGTGGCAATACGTTTCGGTATGAACTTCAAAATCATTTCCTTGATCGTCACCTGAAAGATCAACGAGTTCTGAGCCTCAACATTTCACACAAATAACGTGAGCCCACTGTGCTCTACTACTCACCTGTTTCGGCCCCACATAGCACATCACCTTTCGCGGTTTACTCTTCGTGGTTCCATAAATACTCAGCAGCTTCGCCTCGTAGCAAATATTGTGCTTTCGCGACGCAATATTTTTGTGAACGAGTGTTGTGTCGCTACCTTGAAGAGCCAGAGTACAAAAATGCTACAAACTAACAGTCTACAAGAGCGATCGATGTATATATAAAATGATCAAATCTTGAGTAAACTACTAGAAAAAACTAATAAGTATCTGAGTTATTTAGTAAGACGATATTCATCATATCTGCATATATAGGAAAAGTCCACTACAAATACCCCAGATCCTAAAGATGATAGATTCTGATCTATTTTAGTCATCGCTTGGTAATTAGTTCGTAATATCAATGTTAATCTTCATCTTTTGTCTTTTGTAGAAAAATCTATGAATATTACGAATGAAGAAAATATAGTTGTATTATATCAGGCGAAAAGTCCAGATTATGAAATTGACGATATCAATATGATATTTAGGACACTATACGGTGGGACCTGCAGGCAGACGGACTAAAATGGGTAGTTCATGTAAGATAGACACACTAATTAGAATATGTAAGTATAAAGAATTTGAATATAAAGAATTTCATAAATTTACAATAGGAGGGTATAAGAGGGTATAACAGTTAAATTAGCCATATCTAAATATCTATTGTGTGAAAGTCCAGTTAATTTGATACTTACTGCTGAGCACGATTATGTCAAAGTCCCCATTGGGAAGTTGCTGATCTCGATAGCTGATGCTAGCTTTCAAGCAAGTCGGTTCTGGAAAGAGAGCAGTCACTGAGACTCGCGAATTGACACTGTCGTAGCTGAAAACAATGGCGTTCTGCAGCTTTTCGACGGACACGCCGTGTAGATCGTAAATAGCGACACGGTAACCCTGCGAAGATGATGGGATATTTTTAACAGAGGTTATTTGTAAGGTAAGTGTAATGTACCTGCAACGCCTCATCGGACTGCTCGAAAATACACGCGTTGCCAAATTCGTCCCTCGGCTCAATGTGCATTAGAGTCGGAGAACTGGCGCAGCAGATGAGCGTACTAGCCGGGCGTATGAATCGTGATCTGCGTGGATCGATGGCCCCGGGCAGGAAGTTGCGCACGAAAGGCGAACCGGCTATATGACTGGCGCCGATTAGTACGGAAATGTTGTACTGGCCCGCAGTGCGAACCGTAAACTTGACTTTGGCAATGTTGGCATTATTGGGATCTGTAGATGAGCCGAGCTCACTGATTGTCACCACCTTGCGTGTGCCTTCGGTGACCTCTACGAAGAATTGGTCGGTATCACAGATGGGATACGGCTGGCCGTTGCGCTGAAAGAAGCGCACAACGAAGCACATGGTGCCGCCGACGTGGGCCGGATCCTTCCAGTCCCACTGAACCCTGCAGTTGGCGGGCAGGAGATACTTTCCGGTTACATACTGCAGCAGCGAGTGGCGCGCCTCGGGCGCCAGAGAAGGCTGTGTCATCGCGGCGAGTGTGACCAGACCGGCAACGGAAACAGAGACCACGAGCATGCCTCCCCATGTCCAGGCGTCCTGATGTTGACTTGACTTGACCACCGTTGACCACAGCTGGGCCTTCAAAGCGTCCAGCTGTGCCTTCGATGTGGGCAGCCCTTGACGCGCAGTCGACCACAGTTGCCAATCCTTTCCGAGTATCTTGCTGGCACGCGAATCCTCGAGCCAGTACACGTCCTCTAACGAGGCCACCTCAACAGCCAGCAGACGCTGGTAATGATGTTGCATACGATATTCCCGTAGCCATTCGCGCAAGATCAACTTCTGCTGCAGATGGAGGGCAGCGCGTTGCAAGCGCTGTTCGTCCCCCGGCGGCAGCTCGGGCAGATGCTCCGGATCTCCAGAGCTTGATAACGACGAGATTCCTGTGCGGAAGACACGACGAAATAGGCAGGGTAAACAAAAACAGAAAAGGAAACCAAAACGGATAATAAATATTAAGTTACACGTAGCAAATACTAATTAAATATAACAAACTTTTCGCGTCAAAGCTAATTGAGCTAAATGGTCAAAGTTTGAGAAATTCGAAACTTTTGCGATATCGACGCTCGGCGTTCGACAACGACAGTGACAGCGTCATCAGGACACGTTCATTGTGTGCTCAATACAACAAAAATCAACTTAATGGCGCTCCCAATTACAAGCTTACTTATTTAGTCAGGCAACTGCGGCATTGCCACTCTACAGGAACTTTGACCACCTTGCCAATCAATTATATTTCAATTTTCGTGAATAACCTTAACTTAAGTTCAAAGGCTACGCGTGTACCAAAACACAAAATACTTATGTACGACCCAACTATATAGGTATATACATATATCTTGCTGACACAATATATATACGTATGCACATACATATATATACAGCCGCTTGTCGCTTGTCCTTCCAAATAATACCTTCTGTACATTGCCATCCATTTAGTGATACCGATAATATACTTATTGTTCGTATAAATGATATTAGAGCAGTGAGGTCTTTTTATAGATTTCCAAGCAATCATCGTTATTTATAGGTAACACCACTTAATATTATATATCTATAAAAGTATCACTATTAAAGGCACAGAAAGGAAGGAAAGAAGCAGAGCAGAGAAAGAGAGAGGGAGAGAGCGACAGAGACACAATTTGCGTAATTGCACTGGTAAACAAAATGAAGTAACGAAAACTCTAAAGACTGGAGTCAAAATTAGAGCCAACAATGGCAGTAGAATTTGTGTGCTAATTTTCACCAAATATATATATATTTAATACTTGACCCCATATTTTCCATTCAGAATCTGACCATTGACATTAAGGAAGAAAAGCCACAGGCCCTTTTCAAGTCGCAAACGAGTAAAATAAAACGCTAATCTACATGCAATCTAACGTTAGCCAGAGAGCATTATTGAGTATTACGAAATATACATACATATGTACATACATACATACATACGAACGGAAAGAAGTAAGGCTTGCGTGCATGACACTTGGCAACTGTGGTATTTCTTTACGAATTTCTTACACTCGCTCCTCGTACGCCGGAGAACTTCTGATGTCCTTATATTTATTTGCTTAGTTCGTGCGAAACGAACAACTTCCGCTTGATTCTGATTCGCTGATTCTATAACCAGCATTAAATTGGCGAGAAATACACAGAGCAAACAATGAAAGGCAACTTTTAGTTTTGAAAAGTTTTCGTTGATATCTAGATATACACATATTTATATATATGTACTTCGAAATATCATTAATTTTTCTGTAGGTCTACGATTACCATAGTTTAGTTGCCATTCAATAATACTTTCAGGAGCCACCTAACGCACGTACGAGGCACATGGGACAAATTTAATCCTTACATCATTTGTTCAAACTTAACCCAATAATTAAGTGAAAGGCGGTTATCGGCTATCAGTTTCCATGCACTGTTAGTGCGAGTTGCTAAGGTGCCTTAGATGTGTGCAACGGTTTTGTGGACTCACCAATCTCATACCTCAAACACAATTTAAGCACGCCGCGCGGCAAACTCTTTTTTCTGGCTCTGCTAGATGGCCAAGATACTTGCATATTATAGATCAAAAGCGCCATGTAACAATTGCCGCTGAACCGATCCACAAGGCCCTTAAATTTGACGCTTGCATGGAGTAATATCAATTCATTGCCAAGCACTGTACCCTCGGGCGGCAACAGGAACTGAGCCATATGAGTAATGAGATTTTGTGGTTGCTTTAATAACTTTAAAAATTTTGACAGAACTTCCAAAGGCGACGTCGGAAAATTACTTTCAGCTCAATTTCTTACTACTAACTATTTAATAACATATTTGATTTTTGTTTTTTAACTATTTGAATATTAAATTCAATTACAGATCAGAATGCTCTCGTCTACATTGAACTTAGGTAACCACATATGACCTTGTCTACCCATACCTTAGTTGACCAACCTATTTTAAATGAGGCGGTTCTATAATATAGTGAGGACGAGGGGCTAAAAGCAGCAAAAGTGATGTTATTTCATAGTTTTGTAATTATTCAGGTGTTTCCACGACGAAGTAAATTAGTGTAAAGAATTTTTCGTTCACTTTTCCCCGACTCTCTTACGAACGTGTTTTGCTATCCATAGTGAAGAATAATTACAATGGTCCACAAGGACATCGCCTGTTCGGATGTACATATGTATGTGTAAGTAAACAAATGTTACAACATTTTTGTTGACGAAACAAAAACATGAATAATTTGCGTATGAAATTTTAAATGACAAGCACTCTCCACATTGCCGTCGGAGCACCTTCCACGCTTGCCTCAAGTAGCGCCGTAAGTGTAAGTGCAACTTTAGCTGCTCGGCAGCATCCTCTGCAAATAGCGAATGTACAAAGTTGGAACACAAATGAGAACGTACCCGCAAATCTCGAGCAGTTCTCTATTTAAATGTAATGCGTGGATAACTTAGAAGGGAATCATTATTTGAGGTAGTGATATAATTATATAATCAGATCCGATTTGGGTAGCGCAGAGGGGGTGCACATATCAATTTTGATAAACGATTATAGGATCGTAATAGTAATAGTTGGATTTATTTATATTATTTTAGAGACTGGATGAAGTTTACCTTTTCGGTTACGGTAAGTTGCTGCAGACTGTTTAATTAAATACAAACATGAATAAAGAAGCATATCTGATTGCTGAACAATAGCTGCGAATTGTGTCACTATTTTAGCTCAAAACATTATCATATTGTACAAATCCATTATACTGTTATTACTTAATAAAACAAGAAGGCGCTAGTCCAGACTGATATACTAGGAGATACCCTGAACTCTCGAAGCTGATATTCTAATCCATCTGAAACTTAATCATATGGTAAAAATGTGTGTACATTCCAAGTCTCTAGACTTACAAATTAAACGCAAAGGGGCGTGGTATAATTTGAAGTCTCTAGGTCTAATAGTATTCAAATGAGACTGAAAAAACAAAATCAATTTTTCGATTATTCTCGATAAAAAAGCTATCGGTTGAGTTATCGCAAATTTAAGACGAGCTTGTACTGCGTATGGTATACACGAGTATGCATGCCAAATTTCAGGTCTCTATCTTTTTATACAAAATTCTGAGATCGACGCACTCATACGGACGGACAGACGCTCAGACAGACAGGATCAAGAATAAATATACTTTCTAGGATCTGCGATGATTTTTTCTGCCCGTTGCATACTTTTCAACAAAACCATTATACCCTGATTTCCCATTTTCATTGGATTCAGGGTATAATGATACATACATACATGATTCGCAGCCGCACAGTCGCGTGCACTGAAAGTCTACAATTTGGCTGTCAGGATGCCAATGGATTTTCATTTTTATGCAATTCTCCTTTACTTGGAGGTCAATTGTTGCATCACCACATCTCACAGTTGATTTTCCGCCAGAACTGATGATGCTATAAGCTACAGCATAGAATAGATTTTTGTATTCTCTTTTTTCATGGAAGAAGGAAAGGCTTGCTGATTTATTTTGTAAGTAATTTTTTCCATATTCTATCGACATAATAAAATTTCAAAACTCGCTTAAAACGTCGTCACTATATTCTATATTTGGTAAAAGTTACTTTCGGTCACACCTATTGCAAATCTTAAGCGTTTGCTTACATTACAAAAGCGCGCTTTTTCGCATTCTAAGAATTGCGATTGATTTCTGGATTTTCTAGCTGTTATTGTAGTTTTGTCAGATGACGCTCTGTTATTAGCTTATTGTATTTCAGCTACTAGATTGTCAAGCAAAGCGATAGCGTGGGTGATAAAGGCTTCGCATGTTATGTTACAGCGGCGGAGGTTCAAAACCCCTTCAATGTTATGTTTTTATTTTCATACATATTTCGTTTTTTATAAAATAGATATTTATTTTATTCTTT